ATGAATAATTACCAAGCTAGAATATAAGTCAGGGACCAGAGGAACTTCTGTGTTGTAAAGATTTCTATGGCATTCCCAAAGTATTAGGAGGCATACAGGGTTTTAAAGAGATGTTTCTCAGAAAGATCATTTATTCAGCAGTGATGAAAGTCTTTTTTGCTTAAAGATACCTTCAGAGATACCTATTCCTGTATTTGGGTTTTGCCTGTTTGCATTGTGCCTGTGATGAAAAAATGTGTACTTTTCTTTTTTTGGCTTCTTTTTGTATCACACTCAGCAGTATTCAGGGTTTACTCCTGGCTCTGCACTCAGGGATCAACCCTAATGGGACTCAGGGAGTGCTTGGCGTGAAGGCTGGATTAACCATGTGTAAGACTAACACTCTATCTGCTGTACTATTGCTCTGGCCCCATACTTAATGATCCATCTTCCCAAATGCCCAGAACATGGACCTCAGCTTCAACCTCCTGATACAGTGATAACCTTTCAGGGACTCTTTAGCCAGCCCCAACAGTTGCATAAGCCAATTCCCTATAACAGTATCAACTATTGTTCTTGTTTCTTTGACCCTGACTCTTAAAGCCATGAGAAGTGAGGACATTAGAGGTGACCTTGCAACAGATACAGAGGTGATAGCACAGAGAGGAAGCATAGAGATATTCAAGACCTAATGACTATCCAATATGTTACTGAGGGGGACACTGGGGTTAAGAATGACCTGTGAGGGTTCAACCTATGTGAGCAGAGTCGGGGTATGTGCTGCTGATTATTTGGAACTGTTTAAAGATATTTGGAATTTGTCAAATTGATTTCTGCTAAAATATGACTAATAGTCATATTTAATAGTATTCATAGAAAAATCTAGAAGAGCCTGAAGTTGTGAAGGGGAGATGCTAAATTTTAGATATATGGCCAAAAGCTGAAACAGGAAAAGCATAAGCATCAGCAGTTGAAGGTGGAGGAGTGAATGAGTTCACTCTGGGAAGGTGGTTGAAAAAATGACTTGGGGGCCTGGAGCAATAACACAGCGGGTAGGGCATTTGCCTTGCACACAGCTGACCGTGATTGATTCCCAGCATCCCATATGGTCCCCTGAGCACCGCCAGAAGTAATTCCTGAGTGCATGAACCAGGAGTAACCCCTGTACAACGCTGGATGTGACCTCCCCCCAAAATAGAAAGAAATGACTTGAGCGGGATGCAGCATCAGTACAGTGGGTAGAGCATTTGCTCTATGGTTGCACATGCCCAACCTGAGTTCACTCCATGGCACCCCATATGATCACTGTCAAACCTCAGTCTGCAGTCGAGCACAAAGCCTTGTTTCTTCTTGCCTTTAGCTGTTGACTTGATTCTTTATATCCCACATTTGAGGGAATACACCTGGAATTTGTCTTTATCTTTCTGACTTTGCCTAGTATCACCTTCCCCAATTTCACTGATGTTGTTGCAAAAGGCAAGATTTCATCTTTCCTTACAGCTGAATTTATATATATTTAAATATTTATATAAATATTTAAATAAATTTAAGTATATATTTATGTGTTTATAAATATATATCCTTTAGGCAAGGAAATTGATAATGTCAAGTGATGACCAATATTGGTTTCAGTCATATTTTAGCAGTGTGGTCAGTAAAACTAACTCATTTAGAAATCAATTTGACAAATTCCAAATATCTTGACATAGTCATATCATATTGTGTGAGGGACAGGCCCAAAATGGACCACCACCAGAATTAATTTAGCTTAGCTTAATAGGAACCTGCATTGCAAAATAACTGCTTTTTTTCAAGGAACAGGTCTAGATAAGCTTTTTCAGATCCGCTTTCAGGAGCCTGCACTGCAAAGTAACTGGTTTTTTTGCCCCTGAGCAAGGAATTCAGATACACGTACTCGAAGGGTGGGAGTCAGACCAGATAACTGGATGTCTCTCACAAGACCCATGTTGCAAGACCCAGAACTGCCCTAAAGACCTGTCAGTTCCTAAGCACTGATGCAAAATGCTGATCTTTAAACTATAGGCTAAGAAGTGATGTACCCTTAATTGGATTGGTCAGGAAAATATGGGTTATTAAAAATCTATTGGCTATGAAATATGTGGGCTCTGCTCTTTTTTTTAAAAGTTTTTTTTAAATTTTTTTTTATTAGTGAAACACCATGAGGTACAGTTGTAGATTTACAATTTTTTGTGCTTGGGTTTGATTATAAAATTATCAGATACCCATCCCTCCACCAGTGCCCATTTTCCACCACCATGGATAATATCCCCCCCACCCCCATCCCCCCATCCCCCCCTGCCGCTGTGGCAGGGCAATCCCCTGTGTTCTCTCTCTCCTTTTGGGTGTTGTGGTCTGCAAAAGAGGCATTAAGTGGCAAACATGTTCAGTCCATAGTCCACTTTCGACATGCATCTCCCCTCCTGGGAGGATCCTCCAAACACCCTTTATTTGGTGTTCCCTTCTCTATCTGAGCTGCCCTTTCCCCTAGAATGCCCAACTGGCCACTAAGCTATGGAGTAATCCTCCTGGTGCTGATCTCAGCTATTCTTGGGTATTAATCTCATATTTTGTTACTTTATATTCCCCAGATGAATGCAATCTTTCTATGTCTATCCCTCTCTTTCTGACTCATTTCGCTTAGCATGATACTTTCCATGTTGTACCACTTGTATGTAAATTTCATGACTTCGTCTTTTCTAACAGCTACATAGTACTCCATTGTGTAGATGTACCAAAGTTTCTTTAGCCAGTCATCTGTTCTTAGGCATTCAGGTTTCTTCCAGTTTCTGGCTATTGTAAAGAGTGCTGCAATGAACAAACAAGTGCAGATGTCACTTCGACTATACATTTTTGCCTCTCTGGGATATATTCCCAGGAGTGCTATAGCTGGGTCAAATGGCAGATCAAATTCTAATTTTTTGAGAGTCGTCCATACTGTTTTCCAAAAGGGTTGGACCAGCCGGCATTCCCACCAGCAGTGAAGGAGGGTCCCTTTCTCACCACATCCGCGCCACACATGCTCTAACGGTCGATGAAGGCCTATATAAGATCTCCTTTGGAGAAGCTCAGGGTCTTTACCCAACCTGCTGGACCTGCGTGTCTGTGTAGGCGGTGGGACCCTGGCTAGCCAATCTTGCAATAAACCCTGCTTGCTGTTTGCAGTCTCTGGAGTCTCTTTGTCGTTAAATGGAGATTTCGATCTGCGCCCTAACAATTGGAGTATTAGGGATATTTCTGAGGTTTTACCTTTTAAACACAATCATGACTTGTAAACTTTTAGCATAGTAACTTTATAGCCATTCTGTTTACAAAAACAAAAAAATGATAACTATTTCCATGTCCACAATAAAAAATTGATCAGCTAATCTTAGTAGGTGCATTGGCTGAAAATTGAAAATTTGTGGCTTATGTAGTAAACAGAAAATGCTTGTGTTGCTAATAATGAACTAGAAGCAAAAGAAACTGAAAAGACTTTTCTCTTCAAATTTGTGCCCCAAAGCATCAGATACCTAGGAGTCAACTTAACAAGAGAGGTGAAAGACTTATAGGGTGAAACTTATAAATTACTGCTGCGAGAAATAGAAGACACCAGGAAATGGAAAGACGTTCCTTGTTAATGGGTCAGAAGAATCAATATTGTTAAAATGATTGCCCTACCCAAAGTATTATACAGATTCAATGTAGTAACCATGAAAATTCCAGTGATGTTTTTTCAAAAACATGAAACGAATCTACTGAAATATATATAGAACCATAATGCTCCCTCAACAGACAAAGCAATCCAAATAAAAAAGACGAAAAAAGTGGGAGGCATTGAGGATTATCTTAAAGAGTTTGTGGTCAGTGGGGAAAAGAAAGCTGTTGCTGGTGTGGAAAACAATCTGTAGACGAAAATGATTAGGGAGAGTGAAAGCTGAAGGGGGCACTGTAGCCCCTGGTAGAAACTCAGTCCCCTTAAACAAGAGAGAAGGAGGTTAAAGATGGGTAACTTCCATGATATACTGAAACATTTACTTGGAAGGTAAAAGCTGAGGATGAAGATGTGGGAAGTGTGGCTCAATGTAAGAGTTTCTGCCTTGCAGATGTGTGGCTGTGAGTTCAATAACCAGCCACGCTATTGAGTGTGATTTCAGTGACACTGCCTCCGTGACCCCTAGGGTGACAACAAGTGTGCAGGAGGCCCATCCAAACCTTGTATTCATTAGTATTGGTGGTACAAGTATTGACAAGTACACTTGAAACTTGATAAATTTGAAAGATGTGTTAGATGTCATGCAAAAGCTGAAAAAAATCAAATAATTGAGACATGCAAGGGTGCTAACTTAGAAGAAAGCATTTTGCAAAATACTAAAGATGAAGTATTAAAGATGCTGTTGAGAAAATATAGAGTATAATTAATAAAATGTACTAGAAGTACAGTGTATTTAATGATTTTATAACTCATCCTAACATATAGTTTTTCTTAGGAAGAAATATTTCTAGAGTATGCATGTTTTGAGTTTTTTTGGGGGGGTCACACCCAGTGATGCACAGGGGTTACTCCTGGCTCATGCACTCAGGAATTACTCCTGGAGGTGCTGGGGGACCATATGGGATGCTGGGAATCGAACCAGATTCAGCCATGTGCAAGGCAAACACCCTACCTGCTGTGCCATACTCCAGCCCTGAGTATGCACATTTTGATTAATCTTGAGCCTTCGGGTACACATTTCTTAGATAAATCCCATAGGAAGTTATTCTAAATAAATTCAAATGAGGAAATCCTGGAGACATTTGGAAATGCAAAGGTGGAATCAAGAAACAGGCCTGAACTGGAACTGTGAAATCAGGCATTGTCTGTATGAAATGTATTTGAGAGCCTACACTTCACGCTTATAGTGGCCAGATGTGACTTGGTGCGATCAGAAAATAGCCTCTGTTTTTAAGGAGATTTGTGTGATTATTAGGAAAAGACACTGCACAAATGATCTTGGATAAAGTAGTGAATAATTATGACCATGTAGAGCTTAGAACCTTTTTAAGGAAGGTTCCTCAGGCACTTTTATTAATAAGCAGGTATAAACTTGAAAATAGCACCTCTAAAAGTTACAGTTCCAATTATCAGTTCAGGTCACCCAGAAGAAAGAGACCACAACAATATTGAGTGAGCATCCAAACAATGAGAACTAAGTTGTCAGCCTAATGCTTTCCATCAAACTCACCATTCTGCCCTTTGCTTCTGTCCTCTGAGTCAGTTAGCACTTGCCCTAGCATTAGACAAGGTTCCTGGTACTTGGGCACATAGGGATTGTGTTCTGAGTGCCCAAAATTCTTATCTCTGAACGGGAGGACAGTGACAGTGACAGTGACCTTCATTTAGACCTTAAAGTATCTGATTCTCCCAGGGCACGGGCGAACCACTGGACCAACAGGAGCTGACTTGGGTTTTTTCATTTTGGGGAATGTTTCTCCTGATGCTGACTCCACTGACGTGAAACCTGAGAAGGAATGGCGCAGGTCATAGTGTTCCCGATTCAGTGGAGGTCCTGGGGGAACTGACATCACCACGGGTCCTACCACAATGGCAGCCGGGGCTGGGTCAGCTGGAGAAGGTGCGGGCGAAGCTGAGTTCACTGGGTTGGAGGCCCCTGCATCTGCTTGGGGCTGCAGAAACACATGAAGAAGAAGAAACATTTCCTTAGACTTCTCCCTTCCTCATCTTAGCCTAGAGGACCCACACACCTGACACTCACCCAATTCTCTAACAGTAATAGTTTTTATGAGTAAAGAAAACATTTTTTAAAAAAATTGTTACCACTGCTTGAATAATTTAGTTTTAGCCTGTGATCTTTTTTTTAAACTGGATCACCATGAGATACACAGTTACAAAGTTGTTCATGATTGGGTTTCAGTCAATATTCCAATACCCATCTGTTTACCAGTTTACATTTCCCACCACCAATGCACCAATGTACCCAATTCCCCTCCTGCCAATAGCCCTGCCTCTAGAGGTACTTCTCTCTCTCTCTCTCTCTCTCTCTCTCTCTCTCTCTCTCTCTCTCTCTCTTTCTCTCTCTCTCTCTCTCTCTCCAGAACTTTTTTTTAAGAAAAACTACTTGGATGCAAAAGATTGTTATCAGAGTTACAGAAGAGATGCATCTGGCTTCTTGTGGTTCTAGACTCACCAAAAGTCTATTGTATTGCAGGGCTAAGGAATACTCTTAATGCCAAGTGCCATTTGGATATTAATAGCATCATTTGTGGGCCACATAATATAGGCAGGTGGACCACAGGCAGCCAATAAAAAGCATATTTCTGTCCTGTCTTGCACAAGGTTCAGAGCACATGATTTCACTAGTCTTATATGGTCTGCAGGCTGGATGTTTCCCATCCATGGTATAGGGGATATTGGAGTTGTATACATAAAACCCCCACCAGCAAAAACACTCCAACTCCTGGCTAACCTGGAGCCAGGAGCATGTCCCTCTTTGTCATTTGCATCTGCAGCCCCTAGGAGCTGCTAGGCCTACAGCTCAAAGGGCCTTTGGCACACACATTATAGTTCTGCCCTTAGACACCAGCTTATGGGAGAGGAAGTCATGGTCTTCACACTCTTCCAAGTGTTGCTGATTCTCATACCCAGCACAAACTTTCATAGTAGGTGCCTATGAGAGGCAGCAAATTACCAGTAGTTACAGAGACACTGCATGAATTTTAAGGGTCATGAATTCTGCAGAGGAGGATGAGGATATTCAGATGCCATTACCTGTGCTTGGAACACTGTGCAGGTTACAGCAACATCTTCCCCGTTGACCTTCTCAGTGACTGTGGCCTTACAGAAGCCATATTGCTGCCCATAGGGAAAGAGGAGTTAAATGAACTTATTCAAAATGTGGCATTCTCTTCCAATTCACTGATTCTTCCTCACATGTCAAAGCATGAGACGGAAATTCCAGTTCCTCTTTATGATAATGTTCCTCACAAATTCCAGTTCCTCTTTTTTTGATAGATTTTTATAAAACATATATAGAGGCTGCAGCAATAGCACAGTGGGTAGGGCGTTTACCTTGCACGCGGTCAACTTGGATTCGATTCCCAGCATCCCATATGATCCCCCGAGCACTGCTAGGGGTAATTCCTGAGTGCAGAGCCAGGAGTAACCCCTGAGCATCACCGGGTATGACCCAAAAAGCAAAAATATATATATTTATAATATACCATTATACATATCTTGTAGAAAATATAGGAAGTTGGTTTTTTGTTGTTGTTGTTGTTGTTGTTGTTTGCTTCTTGAGTCACACACAGCGATGCTGAGGGGTTACTCATGGCTCTACACTCAGGAATTACTCCTGGTGGTGCTCGGGAGACCATATGGGATGCTGGGAATCGAACCCAGGTCAGCCGCGTGCAAGGCAAATGCCCTACCCACTGTGCTATCACTCCAACCCCAAATATAGGAAGGTTTTAAGAGAGAGAGATCACCCCCATAATTCAAAATATGGCGGCAACTGTGGAGAATCGGTGTTAGTAGCATATATTTTTTCTTATTTTGAAATATTATTAAACATAATTCCAAAATTCAGATATTTGTGACTCTATCATTTATATCTTTTTTTTACCTCACTATGTTAATATTTTCTTACATTGTTCATGTATATTTTCTCTGAAATGTAATTTTTAGAGTGCATCATTTTTTATTTTTCAATGAGCCATTCTTTATTGAATGATCCCTTTCTGTTGGGCATTCAGATCCTTTGCAGAGCAATCACTTTGTATCATATTTAGAGAGATAGAAATCTTCTTTATAGACTGTTTTTCTGTCAAACATATCTGATTTTTTTAATAGGATAAATTTCTAGAACTTGAAATATCTGACTCAAGGACTTGAACATATTTATAGCAGTATATTTGGCAGCCCACACTTCACACTGCCGGCAGCTGGACATGAGTTGGCTTGATCCAAAAATAACCTCGGACTCTCTCTTAACTCCAGGGCTCTCAAGGGGTGAGATTATTCATTGACCTAAAGGAGATGAATCAGTGGAAGGCTCCTTGTGACCCAGTGGCATCGGGACCTGGTATTTTGCACTGTTCTCTCTTTTCTGCAGCCTCAGGATGCTAAGTTGCTCTAAGACAGCTCTGCTGTCCCCTGGTCCTGGTCTACTTACTCACCCTCTCTGCCAGCATGTTACACGTGGCTGGGTTTGTGACATCCTTTGCAACACAGTCAGTGGCAGCCACAGCAAACTCCACATAGGTAGAGGGTGGAACAGTCTGATGAGAATAAATGAGAATATTTGTGAGGCAACACAACTTAGTTCGAAAAAGGGAAGAAGGGAAGCTGAAGAGAAGCACAGAAGGCCACAACACTGCACAATGCTAAGGAGTTCATGCACACAGCCCAGAGCGTGGGGCCAGGAGCACAGCTCTGATGGCTTCCGCAGGGCAACTGTAGAATGCAATCTGAAGTGTTTGTTGAGTTAGGTGGTTATTTCCCTGAAGCTGGTGTAAGTATTTACTGGCTACTATTCAGGGCAGGAGTGAGTTTTTAAGCAAGACAGGAATTCAGACCACACTGAGCTGTGTGGGAGCCCTAGACCTCCCACATCCTTTCTCTTTCTTGGGGCTGCCTTCCTTTAACATCCAAGATGGGGCAGGAAAGAAAAGATATAGTTCTCTTTTCTACTTTACAGAGCAGAACAAAACAGAAAGTGGCAAGGAAAGGGGGAAAACGTTTAGGTTATGGAAGATGCGTGCATTTTTCTTTTCCTTGCGCTAAGTCATTCCTGGAAACTATGGAGAGTCTGGGGTGGGGTGTTTAAGAATCTATGAATCAGTGAACAGGACTACCACCTACCCAATATACTTCCAAGGACACTATAGCTGTATCCAGAATATCGCATTAGAAAGCTGCAGCATTTCAACATGCAGAACTTTCTATAGTACAGATATATTTTAGTGAGTAAAGAGGCACTTAAGGATTCTTTGTTATGTGCCTCTAGGTATAAGTAGGCCTGTGACTTTGACGTCTAGGACAATGCCAGTGCGCAAGGGTGAAGAGGGGAGGGGTGGATGTGGTAGGGATGCACACCAGAGAACCACAGGGGATGCTCTGGATAATGTGGGCATTTCTTTCTTCTTTTTTTTCTTTTTCTTTTCTATTTTTTTTTTTTTTTTTTTGCTTTTGGGTCACACCCGGCAATGCACAGGGGTTACACCTGGCTCATGCACTCAGGAATTACTCCTGGTGATGCCCGGGAACTACATGGGATGCTGGGAATTGAACCCGGGTCGGCTGTGTGCAAGGCAAACGCTGTATCCGCTGTGCTATTGCTCCAGCCCCAATGTGGGAATTTCTTATTCCAAACAAGGAGCCCACTTTTCACAGGGAGGGGCCCTGGGGAGATGCCTGCTGGCCTGTTACAGTCATTCACCTGGGAAAGGAGACAAAGTCTCTCTCAGGGCACTCATAGCCCTTGAGACCCCGCCCCCCCCCTTTTTTTTCGCGTTTCTCCCACCACCCCACCGTCGCTGCCCCTGCCCTCGTTCTGTTCCCTCAGCCCTGTTCCATCACAAACATTCCAGAAGAGTCACCAAACTGGCCCCTAAGTCACACAGGTCTCCATCTTACCACAAGTTGAGCCCGGGAAGCCTCCACCAGCTGAAAATAGGAGCCGTTGCTCTGCCCGTTGAAGGCGGCCAGTGCAGCATCCACAGCGTGCACCACCCTGGTGTCATTGAGCTGGGCCAGCAGTGGGCAGTTCGGGCACACCTTGCGCACATCCTCGGCAGAGTCTAAGCACAGAGAGGCAGCCTGCTCACTCACCAACGTTCTGTGGCATTCTCCCCTGCTATGCCTGTGTCACAAGGCCCAGAAGCACATCAAATGACTTCTGGCATTTTCTCTGCTGACCCCTCCGTGGGCTCCTGTCCTGTGGACATTTCTGCAGGAGCCTCTTCTTGTCTGGGGGCACTTTTCACCCTCATTGAGAACAGCTCCTTAAAATGGTTTCTCAAAGAGGTAGATACAGAATGATTTCTCATAGGTGGGGTTTAAAGACCCTTTAACTTTGCAAGGTAGCAGCAAAGTTCCAAAGGCTACATAATGGGAGAACTGAGCTGCACAATTGAGTTAAGGGGCATTGGTGGGAGGGAATGATGTTGGGGTCTTTGGGAGAGGGAGGGAGTTCACAGGTGATGGATATAGTGTTGGATATTATGTGCATGAGAAACCATTATTATTTTTTTATTAAATCACCATGAGATACAGTTAAAACTCAAACATTCATGTCTGAGTTTCAGTCATACAATGATCGAACTCCCATCCCTGCACCAGGGCACATTTTCCACCACCAATGTCCCCAGTATCCCCGCCCTCCCCATCTCAACCCTCCCCTGCTTCTATGGCAGACAATTTCCCCCATACTCTCTCTCTACATTTGGGCATTATGGTTTGCAATATAGGTACTGAGAGGCTATCATGTTTGTTCTTTTATCTACTGAGAAACCATTATTAATAGCATTGTAAACTATAGAATCTCAATAAAAATTTTTAAAAATCAATTAAACTAGTTTCCCAGATCCAGGGCATTTGGCTTTTCCTTACCAAACAAGCAATATAAACTACTTCTATTGAAAACAATTTCAATTCCTTCCTTACTCTCTCTACCAAGAAATCAGGATCAGATTTTACCTGGAGTGGAATCACATTTTGCAAAAATCACAGAAAACTGGCCGTCCTGTTTCAGCAACTGCATGTCACAGTCCCCTTCCACAGCCTGGAGACAGAAACTCAGTGAGGGCCAGAGAGAAGCACTGGCTGTTCCACTTTCCATGCTGGAAGGACCTTCCCGGGTTGTCAAAGGCGAGCATCACAAAGCCATGATCATGGAGGGGGCAGGGGGCTTATGTCAAAACCTTATACCCTTTGGTTACAATGGGGGACTTCAAAACAAGAAAGTGAACCCAAATTTAACAACCACCTCCAAGGGAGGTATCCAATGCACTTGAAAAATCTGCTTGCTGGGAGAACTTGATGGATGTTGGGAACATGATGGTTGCTGGGAGAACATGATTGGATGTTGGGAACACACTGGGAAGCAGAAACAGTGGGCTAGCTCTGTGAGAACCATGACAGGCCAGGTCAGCTTGCCCCCAACACACACACACACACATACACATACACATACCCGTGACCTGAGAGGGTCATACTCACGTGCTGTGCCAGTTGCCTCACAGAGCAGTTGGCCAGTGGGGTGGGGTCCAGTGCGTGGCATGTGGTTTCCAGCGTGTCTAGTTCCAGCTCGTAGATCTCCCCTTTGGGCCTCTGTGGAGATATGGAATGAAGAGGTGAGTTGCCTCTTTTCCCATCCGGCAGAGCAGGCTACTGCACGAGCCTGCCTTGGACTGGAAACCCCAGCAGCCTTCTTTGCAAGCGGTTGGGGGAAAGACAGCCATATTGTTGGTTAGCCTGTAACTCAGCCTAACTCCAGGCCTGACCTGAGGATAGAAACTTGAGCTGCATTTCTTGCATTTTTTCTCAGTGGTATTTGCAGAAGGAAATGGATTTAAGCTTGGATGGGTGGAGGGGCCAGTTCTTACTCCGAGCTCTGTTGGGAGGCAAACCATGAATATGGATGCCCATTTGATTTTTTTCTTGGGGGGAGGGGTTGGGCTACACCCAGCAGTGCACAGGGCTTATGCTCAGGGATCAATCCTGGCTGACTCAGTGGACATATCGGATGCTGAGGACACAACTTGAGATGGCCGTGTGCAAGGCAAACGCCCTCCCTGCTGTAGTAGCATTCCTACCCTAGTTTTTGAACTTTCACCCTTTTCAGTGGTGCTACGAGAAAGTCAGTTTGGGATATTTTTCAGTGGTGCAACAATATAAAGTTGTTGCCAGATAATATTATAGTGTCCCTAAATTCTCTTCTCTGTCCTTCCACCTACTCCTTCTTTCTCTCTCCTTATCTATTTTCTTCCTAAAAGAAAAGGCTGTCCTTTGGATTTTGTCCATGGACTTGTCTATTCCTGGACAGAAAGTTGCTGCTCTCTAAAGCTCCCTGCTGGACACAGAGCAAAGCTTCTGCCTCCATGTGACAAATGAAGTGAAGGCAGTCAGGAGGTGGGTTGGGGGATGGGGGGTGGGAGTGGGAGCTTGCAACTCTCTTTGTGCTTGTTTTTGCCAATTCTCCTCTTTCTGAATCCTTTCTTCAAATCCCAGAAAATTCAGAAGGTGCCATGTGCATTTTACTCTCTTCCTTTCAGTTCAGCAAAGGCTGAATCACTGAACTCCTTAACATCTGCTCTCCTGGAAACAGCTGTTCTATGAGGTACAGATGTGCCTCATTTAATACCCTAAGTCTCACACCTGTGTTGAATAAGAGCAAGGTGTCCCTAGATTTCTCAAGGAAAGACCTCATCAACTCATCCTTTGTTGACAATCACAATATCTAATCCAGATCTCTCCTTCTCTCTCTCTCTCTCTCTCTCTCTCTCTCTCTCTCTCTCCATCTCTCTCCCCCCCCCAAATACACATGCTGTTTTTCCAATAGTATTCTTCTTTAATTGGCCAGTATTTCTTCAAAACCACCACTCTCTTCATTACGGTTGTAGCACTTCTAAAACTCATCTGGGATAACCCTAATTTCAAATATTTGGTTGCATTGTGAGACCCATGTCAATCAGAGTAGACACCCTAATGTTTGTTTTACTTCTTAGATTATAAACTTCAACACCTATACCTTTGCTACCTTAGATTTATATTGAACCATAAAAACGCCATGAGTTGGACCACTTTTGATATTTAAAAATGCAATTTCATATGGTTCAATCTATTATCTCTCATAACACTCGACACTAGTTCGTACCTTAGAATGAATGCTGAAAGAATTATCCTGCATCAGAAATAAAGTCAAATTCGGGGCTCAGAGAGATAGTATAGTGTGTAGGCTACTTTACTGTGCACAGCCAACTGGAGTTCAATCCCTGGCACCATTCCCTGAACACTGCTAGAAGTGATACCTAGGTGCCGAGCCAGGAGTCAACCCTGAGTACAGCTGGTTCACTTCCTCCAAAAATCTAATTCCAAAATAAGAATGCAAAATGCATTAAAAGAAATCTACCCTCACCTCCAATCTCCCAGTGATTCGCTAGACATGTTTTTCAAGTCTGATATTTATTGAATCCTCTTTGTGACAGTTTTCTGCCTGGAAGTGGGTATCTTTGGGAGGCAGTTTGGATAGAAAAGGGGACATAGATCTGGAATTAAAGATTCTAGCCAGGGGGCCTGAGAGCTAATACAGTGGGAAAGCCACTTACCTTACACACAGCCAATCTCAGTTTGATCCCCGCATCCCATCTGTTCCCTCAAGCCCCACCAGGGGTGACCACTGAGTGCAGAGCCAGGAGTTAGCCATTAGCACTGATGCAATAGCCCCCAAACAAAGCAAATCAAAAATTCCAGTCTAACAGTTACCAATTATATTTTCTTGTGTCCCCACAATGCCCCAATATGTCAGAGCTTTCTTTATTTTAACTGAATCACTATGAGATACCCCATTACAAAGCTGTTCATGATTGGGTTTCAGTCATACAGTGTTCCAACACCCATCCCTACACCAGTGTACATTTCCCAGCACCAATATCTCCAGTTCTGCCCCCCCCCATGCCAGCCCCAGTCTGCCTCTATGGCAGGCACCTTTCTTCTCTCCTCCCTCTCCTTCTCCCTCTCCCTCTCCCTCACCCTCTTCCTCTCCTTCTCTCTCTCCCTCTGTCTCTGTCTCTTTCTGTATCTGTATCTGTCTCTCTCTTTTTCTCTCTTTCTCTCTCTCATTCTCTCTCTTCTTTTGTCATGCCAGAGCTTTGATTTCCTCTTAGGTAAGTCAGAGGTAATACCTATACCCACAGGGTTCCAGGGTGTAAATAGGGTTAAGAAAATGACATATTTGAAGGGCCTGGCACATAGCAGGTCAAAGGCTAATTTTAATTTCATTCATTCTCAATCATGATCCAGAGACACAGAAGCAGAGAAATGCAAGTGATTTCTAGTCATTGGTAATTAAGCAACTAGATTTCAATCTTTTGAGCCCTAGTTTTTCTAGCAATGTCATAGATTCAAAAACGCTGTGATCTTCAAAAATATCATTAAAAGTGTTTTTGTCTACCTCCCTCTCTAATGTCCATCCAGCGCCCTCCAGAGACCCATTCAGGGACACAGAACTGAATGTTTCCTTTCTTAACCTCTTCCTTCTACCTCCTGCCCTCCTGGGCATCAGAGCGTTCATCTTTCTGAGGTTGTGCTGGAGGAGAGAGAGGTTATCTTTTAGCTCCTGCTCAGCAGCTTCACTTACCCGAGGCCACACTCTCACTTTGTCGATCTGGTTCAGAGTGTGCTTGTAGCCCAGCTGACGGTTGCTGTTGATGTAGTCCACGGCCACCTGGGCTGCTTGCTCTGATTCTGGGTCATCACAGTCCAGTTCCCTAGAGCCTGCTAGCTCAGTGGGATTCCTTACGCTCAGCGGGACAGACCTGCAGTCTGTGAGCAGAGGAAGGCACAAGAGCAGGAAGAGCGACTTCATGGTCACTCCAGAAAGGCTCCCTGGCAAGTGGTTGGTGGCTGGAAGCTTCAGGACCAGCCCAAGTGTTGCTCTGGGAAAGGTGGATGGATAAAGGGACTAAGGGTTTTATTTATCAGTCAGAGTCTGCCTGAAAAATTGCATAAGGACATGGGATAGTTTCTGTTCTTGTTCCAAGAAAACCCCTGCAAACATTAGCCCTGGAAAAGCAAACAGGTTAGGACATTGCTGGTCCCCAAGACATTTGCCAAAGTCAATGCTACTGGGGGTGAGGGGGCGGAGCAGGGGAGAGCAGGGAGATGCTCCAAAGTCAGCTTGAGACATGGCCATGGCAGACCAGAGAGGAGGTGATGGAAGGAAACTGTGTGACAGAGGTGAGGGGGTGATGAATTTCACAGTATTGGTGCTACAGTGACTCCAGTATGCCATGGGGAAATGGGGGGGGGGGGAGCACTCAGCCATTAGATCAACTCCTCCAATGTCAAGAGGATTATCTCTCCCATGAGAGGGGTTTAGGGAGAAGCCCACAGACGCTACAAAAGTAAAGAACATGCAGAAAAAGGAGCGTAGTTCTGGGAGAGACCAGAATCTTGAGTAAGCTCCTTAGAGGCAGAAAGGAAGGAAGGCATTTCTGCTGGCAGTAGGTAATGGGGGTTTGGGAAGGAGCTCCCACCAGACAGGCAGGCAAGGCTAAGGTGTACAGAGCAGTGTTCGCAACTCTCTCATTATCCTTTCTCCAAGCCTCATTTATGATAACTCTCCAGATGGGTATTGACTGGCACTTCCTTGGTGACTGTGATTGGTGCCAGTGATTCCAGGGCCCCCCAGTTTCCCAGACACCCCATCCTGAAGCCAGTGCACCAGTGCAGCAGGCATGAGTCCTGGTCTAATATCCTGTTCTGGCCTGAGCTCTGGGTCTGGAAACTGCAGAGGGCACTGCAGGGTCAGCTAAGGACACAAGATACTGCCTGAGCACCCTTTACAGCCAATGCAGGACTGGGGGAACTGCCTGAGCAGACAGTCCAGGCTACTGTGTCAGGGTCCGGGCACTGATTTTCAGTGGGCCTTGACAATCCCAGATGAGAGGTGTAAAGAGGATGGGCAAGAGAGCGAAAGGGGTGGGATACATCCTTAGAGTTGGCGGCTTTAGATTAGCCTGAAGCAAAGACGTTCTAACATGGAGACCAACACGTTCTTCAAACATTCAGAGGTCACCTTTGGGTGGGGGCGGAGATGTCCCGGTGTTTGATGTTGCTTCTGAGAACAAAATTTGGGTCAAACAAAAAAAGGGAGGGGGAGATCCACCAAGAGCTTGATGACATTGATTTTCTTGGAGGAGGAAGGCAGCAGCAGGGTGATAAGGGAGAGAAGGGCGCTTCCGGGGCTGATTACATATTTGCTCCCACTCTCACATGCTGATACAGCATCTCTTTGCTGAGGCTCAGAATTATGGTCAGGAGTCCTAGGTCTTGCCCCAGAGGGGGCTCTTGGCCCTAAAGCAAGAAACCAGCTCTCAAAATGGCCCCCAAGCCCAGGGCAACTTTTATATACTTCATTCTCTTCACTGAGTAAAATACCAACTCCTAGGCAAAGTTTTGGGGGTGCTGTGTTTTTCTTTAAAACAACATTTATCATGAAAGTGTGGTTGTGACTGAAAATCTGACACAAAACTAAATGCAGCGAGGATCTATTTCATACAGCATAAACTCGGGTGTGTGAAATATGACTTCACTGGCCATGATTCAGGGCTGTCTTTGATCACCTTTAAATCCAGTGTCTTCTGGGAAACCTGATTTCCCAGATGCTTTGGTTGAAACCCAGCTCTTTTGAGTTTATCCATTATAATCTTTTCCCCCTGCTGGAATTAGAAAAAAATCTGGAGGTATGTGAGGACTTAGGCAAACACTGGTGTAGTAGTCAAAAGTGTGTGTGTGTGTGTGTGTGTGTGTGTGTGTGTGTGTGTGTGTGTGTAAAGGGGGATGGCAGGGGGCAGTTCTCACATACCTTGGCCACTTGGCCTCTGCTGGTATCTCTGCCAGATAACCTGTCACATTGCATCCTCAGGCACCTTCCATGCCCACCTATGTACATGGCATTCTTGTCCCTGTCTTACCCATGGCAAGACTGTTCTCCCTTCATCCTCTGGGAAAAAGGATTACACACTCTTTTGTGTTGCTCCCTTTATTTCAGCTTTGGACCAAGACTTCCTTACTACTGGCATCTCTCAGATAAGTACTATCCCTTCCTTTAAGCATGGAAATTTGGGGCCAGAGAGATAGCTCAACAGACTGAACCCAGACTTTGCATGCAAGAGACTCAGGTTTAATCCCCAGTACCAAATGGTTTCCCAAGCATCATCAGGAGAGCCCCTGAGCACCAAACCAGGAGCAGCGCCAAATACCATCAGGTGTGTCCAACTCTACACAAAAAAAGAGGCATGGAAAAATTCGGCTGTGTGCCCACTAAGGACGTGAGCAGAATCATAAAGCTCTGCAAACTCATCTGCCTTGACACCTTCTGTAGCCATGATCCCCTATGTCTCCAGAGCCAGACTGCTACATGAGGGTTTCTCCCTGCATTGTGAGTGTCTCTGCATGACCTCTGCATCTTTCCCACCCTTGCCCAGCAAGTGAGGCTTAGGTTTCCTCTGTTTGGGGATTCCCAATGTTCTTGGGGAGGTTCTATTGCCATCTCAACATGAGAGTGAGGGAGAAAATCAAAGTTTCATCATCCTTTCTAGTCATCTCTTAGATTTGGAGCTTTTTAATTTATTTATTGCAATGCTTCACACATGTTCGCTGGGAGTAGCATTCCTTTAACTCTGGGGCTCTCACCCATTCTAGTCAGAGTGCTCACCAAGGGTTGTACTCCTTGCTGAGATACTATCTTTGTTCTTGGATATTCCATGAGTAAACATTTCCAAAGCATTCTCTGATGCTAGGAAAACAAAGCCTCTGGTTAAAAAAATGCAGTAATAATAACTCACTTATTCTCCTGCAGCATAGAAACCAAGAAACAAAATTCAGCCACAAGCTCATCATCTATAAACAGTGTTGAATGTCTTGCTGCATTTCTATTATTGCTCAAAAGAATATTTTTATGCAAAGAATAATTTAAATTTGATTTAGAACACATTGCATATATAACTTTGTGTTCTCCTTTCCCTCCCCCATATAACCTAAATATTTCCCATATCATTAAATAGATTTAAGAACATGTTTGTGGTGACTCGATTGGGTCGTGGATTTTTGCTTGTTTGTGTCTATCATTGTTAATCTAATCTTTCTCGTATGGTTGGGCATTTAATTTTCTCTCCATTGATCATTATCATAAACAAAAATGAAGCAAATATTTACTCCATCCCTTCCTTCGTTGCTGCAGTTGTGCTGACAATGAATTGCACACCACGTTGTTTTGGTACTCCCTGGTGGTCACACTTTTTAGTTGCAATGCTTCACACATGTTCGCTGGGAGTAGCATTCCTTTAACTCTGGGACTCTCACCCATTCTAGTCAGAATGCTCACCAAGGGTTGTACTCCTTGCTGAGATACTGGCATATATTAAGTTGCATTGCTTGGGGAGGGAAAACAGTGTTGTGCACATGTTTGTGCTTATGCATACCTGGTTGTGCAGTAGAGATCACAGACTCTGTTGAATTGCCAGAAGCCCCTGGTAATAAAGTTGCTCGTGCTGGTCTCAGCACACAAGAAATAGAACTTGTGGCCTCACACATGCAAGGCAGGCACTTTTAACCATAAAGTCATTACCAACTGCTTGCAATTTACTTTTTTTGGGAGGCCCACACCCAGCAGTGTTCAAGGCTTACTCCTGATTCTGCTCTAAGGGTCTCCCAGCAGGTTCAGGGAGCCTCGTAGGATGTTGGAGATCGAACCCAGGTTGGTCACCTACAAGGCAAGCACCCTACCCATTGTATTATCACTCTGACTAGGCAAATGTACTGTTATTCAGAACTCTTTCAAGACAAAATCTTATTGTGAAATGAAAGATTTAAATAATTTGGACATTTAAAAAACTCAATTTCCCTGGATAAGTTCTTATCACAACTATAACAGTTTATATCTGTACTATTTAGCCAATGTGATATATCAGTTCAGATGTTTTTTCTTCTCTTCTGCTTGCTTGATAGCTTTTGTGGGATATTAAGCATGGGAATAGCATCAGAAGTTTTTTAACACATATGCCAAATGTTTATCATCACTTACTATTAGGGAAATGCAAATCAAAATGATGATGAGATACTATCTCACACCAGAGAGAAAGATTTATATCAAAAAGACTGGAAAAAACCAGCATTGGTGGGAATGTGGAAACAGAGGAACCCTCATTCATCTTTAGTGGGAATATCCTCCAGTTCAGCCTCTATGGAAAACAGTATGAAGAAGTCCCAAAAAAGTAAGAACAGAGCTTCCATATGAGTCAGCAATTCCACTTCCTTATGTCTAGCCCAAGAATGCAATAATATGAATTCAAAAAGACGTATACACACCTATGTTCTTTGCAACGCTAAGCCAGGATATGTAAACAACCCATATGCTGAATGACAGATGAATGAATAAAGAAACTATAATATATATACATCATGGGACCTGAGGACATCATGTAAAGCAGAATAAGTAAGAGAGACAAAGATAAATACAGGGTGTCCTTATTCATCTCTGAATTATAAAGAAACAAAACAAGGGAATAGATAATATTGAACTGTGACAAACCCTTAGCCTTTGTTTGCAGACCTGAGATTACTAAGCAGTGTGAGGTGAAAGGAAGAGTCAGGCTCAAAATGGCATAAGAACAGTTTTTGATGGTCTTGAGCACTCCGGTGGCAGTGGAAGTTCAGTGACCATACATCAAAACCATGAAAGTAAACACTATTATAACCATGTGGCCTAAACTTCAATACATATTAATTTTAAATATATTTTATTAATATATTCTTCATCTAAACTGTTAGATATATCCAATTCCTATACACTAACTTTTATATCAAGTTAGATTAAATGGTTCCATACTTAATTTTTGGTTTTTGGTAGGGACTCATCTGGTTGTGCTCAGGAATCACTCTTGGTAAGGCTCAGGGAACCAGATTTGGTGCCAAGTATCCCACCTGGGTCAGTCACATGCAAGACAGGAACCTTACCCACTGTATTCTCTCTCCTTATTTATTTATTACTTTTGTTTCCTTAGAAAGAAACATAGACATGTACTTACTTAATGTGGGAACAAAAACAGATGAAACTTTGGTCCGTTATCCAAGAGAGTTGCAGCAGTTTCCAATGGGATGGTGCAGAAATTTCACTGGTCCTAAAGGCACCAATTTCAAAGTTTGAAAGACTTCAATTGCCCAGAAGTGTAACCTTCATCCATTTCTTCTGTGTGGGCTCAACTTCTTTGCAGGTCAGTAGAAGGTTGGCATTTGTTCCATTTTCCAGCCATTCATCTCATATGAGACCCTATTCACTATATATTTCTTAATTTTATTTTTATAATAGTTCATTACATTTAATATTCAAACACCTATTCCCACCACTGTGGACCTTCCCACCACCACAAGAGAAAAGAGTGTGAAGATTGTTGTATTTCATCCTGGAGCCATTTTAAGTCCTTGTATAAGAGATTACAAGCATGTATGTTAAACCCAAACAAATGTGTGCTACTTTTGGTACATCAATGGGCTAGAGTATAAGAGGAAGCATGGCCACGAATGAGGTCATATGATCCAGGACGTTCTATGTTGCTCTTTTCCAGGAGCTTTATTTCATAGTCTCTGGATTTTGGCTGTTGATGAGATTATATGGTGCCAGGGGCAGTTTGTGGGTGCGATTGCCAAGCTACTGGAAGACTAGGGAGCTGGGGGAGGAGGCTCAGTGCCATTCCAAGTGAGTGTGGAGATCTCAGTAACAGGTCCTGCATACCTGAGTTTTTCTGCAGGTTCCCTCATAGGTGAGGCTCGTCTGAGCCTATGGAGAACAACCTTGAGCATGGCTGTGTGGTTAGGTTCTGGAGGTTTTCAGCTGCCAGGGTTCTGCTGGCGTGTGGAGGGAAACTCAACCCGCCGCCCTCTGAGATACCCCAGTGAAGAGAGCCTGGCACAGAGTCAGGACATTCTATCTCTATCCACAATATTGAAACAGTAGTTTCTATTCACACCACGCCTAATAATATATTGAGGAGATCATGGGCTTGTTGGAGAGAGTTAAGAATCACAGATCTAAGGGTCTATGAAACTGGAAAGGATCTACAACCTTCACAGTTGGGCAGTGCTGACTGGTGAATTTCCCAGGCAGATGGCAGAATTTCCACCAAAATTCAAGAAGACGGCTGAGGATGGTGCGAAGTCCTCTGAATGTCAACAGGCCTCTCCATGAGGGTAATGCTAGATGCAAACAATTTTTTAGGACAGAAGTAAGTGTTTATAGCTGCCAGCCAGGAGCAAGGACAAGGATGGGGTAAACCCATGGTCATAGTTGCTGAGAACTGGATCTGACAGCTCTGCTTGTGAAGTGGGCGTAGGTCTTAGTTGAAAGAGCAAAAGAGGGAAATCAACAAGCCAGAGCGAGAAAGCCAGTCTCTCACAACACAAAACACCCACATGTGTATGTCAGCAAAAGCCAGAAGAACAACTGGTCTCTTCAGGTAGAAAGTGACAAATGGCTGGTGTTTAAATCTTGGGCCAGTTCCTGGCTCTGCCTTTTTTGGGCCTGAAAGGGCCCAGGTTCCAGGAGGCCAAGTATTTATTTTTGATAAGCAGATGTTTCTTCACTCATAACCCTAATCTCAGGGCTGGAGAGATAGTACAGCTGATTGGCGTTTGCCTTACACATGGATGATCTGGGTTCAATCCCCAGCATCCCAAAACACCCTACTCTCTGTGATGTTTCTGTGATATTAGGGCTGACTGATAAAGAGGCACTATCTGCCTTTAGGGAACTCATCTTCATGCATTTGGTCAGCAACATCTCAACCAAAAACTGTGAAATATATATACACATATGCATATATATACATATATAGGATGTTATCCTATGAATACAGATTGAGAATTATTTCTCCAACATTATAAAATAAAACAGTCAATGGAAACAGTCAGTGGAACTTATCCAAAGACCTGCCAGGTGTCTTGTGATGATAACTTAGTAGCAGCTGCCTGGGAAGTAATTTTGGAGCAAACTGTACTCAGCACCAGTGCAACAAAGTTTGGGAATTATAGATTCTGGCCATGAGATGATTAAAAATATTAAACTGTAATAATCAGAGGAGATGACTTCTGTCTGAGATGACTTCTGTCTTTGGGCTGTCCAGGCTTTCTTCCAGTGCTTTCCTTCAACCATGACCCAGAAAAGAAATGCATTAGAGGTGGTAAGTGGAGTAGTAGGGGAGCAGATGAAGGCTCCAGATTTAAGAAGATGCTCATCCTCATGGTGGCACTTCTTTATATATGCTTCTGGCCTCTCCCTTGAAGTACCCTAGTCCCAGCCTTGGGAAAGCTGCATAAAACAGACCCAGAGTAGAATGTTGTCTTCCTGTTCTTCCATGGAAATTTATTTTTTGGTTGGTGATCCCATGTGTGAAATCAGCCTCAAGAACTTCATGAGCTCTTCATGATCACATAAGAAACCATGGGATTCCTTCTGTTATCTTTTGATTAGAAGAAAACTTCCATTTTCTCTTCAGTGCTGCCTTGATACACTCGCAGACATTGGATGTCACAAAAGAATTACCTTAGGATCAAAGAAAATATGAGGACATCGACATTTTCTGAAGGGGGCAGAGTTACTCCTCAGGAAAACATCAGTATCATTACTGAAGATATTAACTCCTTATTCTGTAAAAGGCAATGTTTTAATTATCTGTGGCAACTGCACTGTTCTCATCTTCCCTCCTTTAATAAGGATAAAGCTGAGGGCCAGAGAGACTCTGGAACTTTACCACATAGGTTTGTACAGCTTGTTTTCATCTTGTTACTTTATTTCTATATTAATTCCAAACCAAAAGGAGGAAGTGATATCAAAAGAATACAGAACTCAGAAGAAACAGAGGCTATTAGCTTTAACACATTGCCTATAAATGTGAATGTGATTATTGTAAACAAAAGAAAGCAGGATCTTATGCTGTAGGTGAAAAATAACAAAAGGAATGAGAGTTTGTATAGAAAATAAAACTTAGACATGCACTTATGTATATAAATTTAGCCAGTAGAAAAACCCTGGAAATCAATTTTTCAAGAGAGACTTTCACCTGTTGACTTTAATGATAACAGCTGGTGTTGAAATTATTTGTACCTCAGGTTTAGACAGTAAATAAAAGGTAAATGATTACATTATTTCTGGTAAAATATTTTCTAGGAGGTGCTAGTCAGTACAGAGAATCACATCCATTCCATCCCTCCTGCTGGTTTCTCTAAAAAAAATTGATGTCTTCAAAACCAGGTGAGTGGCACTTTTCAAACAAGAAGGAAAAGAAGAGGTAAAAACATCACGTCAATGAACCCCAGAAGGCTTCTTGGGTCTTTGGACATGGAGATGTTCATAAAAGCTGTGGTCTTCTCTTCAAAGGGCCAGTGGCTCTTTGGAGACCCCTAAAGAAAAGTGACTCACTGCACCTTGATAAATGTGGCAAATTTTTAATCCACCAACTAGATTACTGAGATTGGAATAGGTCCTTCAAATAGTGAATCAATGTTGTTGATTCTGTGGATTCATTTATTGACTTTATTCTCTGAACACACATTCATCCACTTCAAAAGTACATTATGGGCATGGATATTTACTAAATGAAAAGGATACACAGATGAAAGTGTGATTCTTGCTTTCAGAATATTCACCATTAGGTGTGGCTTCATTGTATTTTGTTAGCTTTTGAGAGCACATAGAGAAGTATCCACTGTGGTTCCTGCCCTCAGTTTGCTTTGAGTACAGAGGAACACGAGTCAAGAGTTGGAAGGGTTCACAGAGGACAGCTGTGGCTTTGCCCTTCCTGTCTTGAGTCCACAGTCCCTGCCTCCTGCCCAGCAGACTGGGATCTGTACATGCCAATGGAGGGGCTCTAGACCACCCCCTGACTCAATTCAGAGACTCCCTTCAGGGTCTAATGTCTGCTGGATATCACATAGAGAACCCTCTCCACTATGCCAGTAGCACCTTTTATGTCAAAATCATTCAGTTAGGAAAAATACTTTCTTTTTTCCCCCTGAAAATATTTTGCCCCCCTTTTTTTATTAATCATGTCATCTAACACCAATTTAAAAACAAATATGTGACTGTGATATAAAAATACTACCTGGGAGTTTACGCACAGTTGCAGGCACAGTTCTCTCACAGAATATGTATTTGGAGAGCTGGGGGAAGGAGTTGATTTAGTTTTTTGCTTCTCTTTTAAAAAAAATTCACAGCAGTGCAAATTGGGCTTGGAAAGGGCCAGTGGGGTGGAGCGGGGGGATCAGGAAGAAATGAGTGCTGAAAGTAGGTAAAGGGATATACATGATAACCTTTCAGTATCTGTACTGCAAACCATAATGCCCAAAATGAGAGAGAGAGAGAGAGAGAGAGAGAGAGAGAGAGAGAGAGAGAGAGAAGTAAAGTGCCTGCTATAGAGGTATGCAGGGCTGGGGTGGGAGGGAAACCGGGGACATTGGTGGTGGGAAATATACACTAGTGAAGGGACAGGTGTTGAGACATCATACAACTGAAATCCAATCACAAGCAACTTTAACCATGTATCTCACTGCAATTCAATAAAATATAAAATATAGAAATTGAACCTAATAAAAAATGTATTTCCTTCATGTCCGGTCAAAATCCCCCACATTCTTCCCTCAAGAATTATGCAAACTGGGGTATCAGGCATCACAGCTGCTGGGGCTGGAGCAATAGCACAGCGGGTAGGGCATTTGCCTTGCACGTGACCAACCCAGGTTCAAATCCCAGCATCCCATATGGTCCCCTGAGCACCGCCAGGAGTAATTCCTGAGTGCATGAACCAGGAATAACTCCTGTGCATCACTGGGTGTGACCCAAAAAGCAAAAAAAAATAGAATTATGCAAATTAAATCATCAAATATGCCTAAAATTTTGATATTATAAGGCAGCTATATGATATCCTATTACTTTTTTTTCCTTTTTTTTGGTCACACCCAGCGATACTCAGGGGTTACTCCTGGCTCTGTGCTGAGGAATTATTCCTGGAGATGCTTGAGGGACCATATGGGATGCTGGAAATCAAACCTGGGTCAGCTGCGAGCAAGGCAAACACCCTACCCGCTGTACTATCGCTCCAGCCCCCACTTTTTGACCTTTATCAAACTTGTTCCTTCCGTTGCTTCTCCGTTAATTTAATCTGGGGGACCACATTGTCATCTTACTCAACAGGCAAGACTGGAGACAGTAGTAAAGAAAGCAGGAAGAATCACCTTGAGACTGAGAATCAAACAAATTATATAACTATCTAAGTGGGTGAGGACTTGAGTGTGTGCATGTGTGCAGGAGTGAAGGATGATAATTCAAGAAGACAGCAAGCCTTGCACTGTACAACAGAACTATCCTGGTTTCCAGAGATTTATGCAAACTCTCAAAACAATGAAACCAACAAACCACCTGAGAGTTCGTTCATCTCCACCAGTTACTTTAATTAGAGTTCTTGAATGTTGAGAAAGAAAATGTCTGAGGCTTATGAAAGATCTGAAAGGAAAAACCAAATCATGCCATCTCTTGAATCTAGCAAAACGTGTTTTTGTTCTGGTGTTTTTGTAGAACATTAGATGGCCAAAACTTGAAACTGAGACAGTTCTGATGATAGGACTGGAGAAAGTAAAGTACACAATTTTCTCTTATGTGCAAAGATTATATAAAACAAAGTGACGTCACTAGGTGAGTTGGTGGGTTAAGCAACGCTTGAGTCTGGGGGTGCTGCTCAGGGAATAGAGTAATTATAGGCTTTGCAAGTGTGAAGCCCTGGGCTTGATTACAGCACTATGAACCATCAAATTTCTAGGCATAATCCCTCGAGACCAATTTTAAGGCAACAACTAAGCCTCTAGGGCTCTGTCAGACTTATCAAAAGGGAGGATGGATAGGAGTAAGAATATGATGAGTAGGTGAGCAGAGAGCAAGAATGTGGGATCGGCTAGCTTGGCAAGAGGTGAAGCATAGACTGTGTTTCGGTTTTGTTTTCCTTTGTGGTCACACTCATCAAGGCTCAGGGTTTACTTCTGGCTCTGTATCAGGCATCACAGCTGCTGGGGTAGGGGCACCATCTGGCATTCTGGAGGTCTAACTCAGCTACGTCTCTAACCCAGCTACATCATGTGCAAGACAAATGACCCCCCCGGTGCACTATCGGTCCATCCCTAGACTGTTTAGGAAATGGCAAGAAATCCCAGTAAAGGTGGAGTCTTTATTTATTTATTTAATTTTTTTTTCTTTTTGTGTCACACCCAGTGATGCAGAGGGGTTACTCCTGGCTCTGCACTCAGGAATTACTCCTGGCAGTGCTCAGAGGACTATATGGGATGCTGGAAATCGAACTCAGGTCGGCTACGTGCAGGGCAAACGCCCTACCTGCTGTGCTATCGCTCCAGCCCGAGTCTTTATTTTTGAGCAGCTCCTATTTGGGTTCTTTCAAAGTGCCCAGTCCAGCTTGTCTTTCTGGGAACAGCTTTCTTCTTTATATCTTTCTCTGCTTTTTTCTCCAAGGCCTATTTGATTACCTGTACCTGTGCAACTAATAAATTTAAATTTTGGTACCTGTGCAAGTAATAAATTTAGTCATAAGAATCAGAAAGCAGGATAGAGGTGGGTTTAACAAAGAAAGAAAAGGAAATCTCAACTGAATAGTAGCACTGTAGCACTGTCCTCCCGTTGTTCATCGATTTGCTCGAGCGGGCCCAGTAACGTCTCCATTGTGAGACTTGTTGTGACTATGTTTGGCATATCGAATGCGTCACGGACGACTGAATAGTATTATTTTTAAAATAAAATTTGAAATATTGAAATGAATTAAATAACAAATCAAATATAGACTAGAAGAAAATCCAATAAGGAATCCCTATCTCTGACTTATTCCCTCTCCATCTTTTTTTATTTTGGAGTCACACCTGGCAATGCTCAGGGGTTGCTCCTGGCTCTGCACTCAGGAATTACTCCTGGCGGTGTTCAGTGGACAATATGGGATGCTGGGAATGAAACCTGGGTCAGTCGCGTGCAAGGCAAATGCCCTACCGGCTGTGGTATCACTCCAGCCCCCCTCTCCATCTTTTTATAACCTTTGTTAAAAAAAGAGTTTATTAGTAGGCAAATGGTGGCTGGAAGCAGAGTTTCTACCCAGTGTCCACCCATGTCCTCTGCCCACAGCTCCACTCTGCCATAACCACCATTTTTTCCTATAGAAATGAGCCTGAAGTGGTCCAGAAAACAGTAAAAGGGTTGGTACTCTTAGAATCACTTAGAATCATAATGCAAACCAAATGAGAGACACAATGCAAAGGATGTTTATTTCAGTGTCTGCCAACCTCTATTCTCAACTTTATTATCTTGAAGTTTACATTCACAATTTTATTTTGGGCTGGAAAGATAACTCAACAGGTTGAGTACATACTTTGCAAACAAGAGGTCTAGGTTTGATCCCTGGTATCAAATGGTTCCCTGAGCACAGAGCCAGAAGTACCAACAGAACACCACTAGGTATGGTCCAAAATAAAAAATTTAAATAAAATATTAAACATGTTATTCCTAGTAACAACATAGAACACGAATGATGTGCCAGCGCATTTTGTTGAGTTCCCATTTGATTTGCATAAAAATTTAATTCTGACACTTGATTGGCATATTTTGATTATTTCTTTTCCAATATAAATGTTGTATAGCTTGAACAAGTTTTAACTCCCACTCCTGAATTAAATGGGACACAGCTGCATGATTAGCTAGTAAGGTTTAGCCTGCATGCTCTAAGGTTAAATGGCTCAAGAAAAAAGTCTGGGTCACTCAAATCTATCGCGTGACTCATCCCTACTTGAAATCACTCTGAGTCCTGTTAGAAGAAGGAAATAAAGAGGGTCTGTTCCTAGAAGGTTTCAGGAAGTTATTGTTTTAATGCCTCAAGGCAAAGAGCAAAGAGACCGGTTCCCACAGTCCGTGCAGAAGCTGAACCTGGCTGTTTCCCTGGGCTCAAGTAGGGCAAGAGAGGGCAGTTCCAGCAATGGGGCAGGTGCCCAGGACAAGGGCCAGTGGTGCCCAGGAACAAGCAGAGAATCCCTGCAGAAGACAGTGCAAAACTAGACACGACAACAATAGTCTCTGTGTTATTAAGTCGCTGTTAGAAAAACAATATGCATTGACTGTGAACAGCTAATGACAGTATATGTTATACTGATAATAAGACATTTCACATACTCATGCATACACACATGTGCAAGCAACAAATTAGGAAGGACTGGGGAATTGGTGACCCATGAAAGATTAA